GGTGAAGAACTGTGATCGGAAACCAGACTGGAGGGGATTGAGGAAAGCTTCTTGTTCTAGGAAGGTGTTAAGCTGTGTATGGACAATTCTTTCAAAAGGTTTTGAACGGTTGGAGAGAATAGAAATGGTTCTGAAATCGGAAACATGGAAGGGAAGTGGAACATTGTTCAATGGGCAGACAATAACTTTTTTCCAGGCTAACAGGAAACTGGAACTTTGTAAGGAGAAATTGTAGATATGCAATAAGATAGGAAAGATGGCTGGAAGACGTAGTTTGATTAACTTTACAGGAATTAGATCAGGGCCATAGTCATTTGTTCTGGATATTAGGACAGAGGAAAGTAGGTCTTCTGGTGAAATAATTGCAAAATAGAAATGTTCAGGGTCAAAGGAAATTTTTGGAATGCAGTATAAGGAGGAAAGTGGTAATGAGGCAGGGTTGGCAAAGTGGAATTCAGTTGATAGGAAGGAACAGGGTAGGATGTACATGATTTTGACTTCACGACGGAGAGACTTTTAAGGATTTTCCATTTGGACTTAGGATCTGGGGCTTATGATAAGGAAGTATGGCAGAATCGTGCCTTAGCACGTCGCAAGGAACATCGGGTAAGGTTTCTAAGAGTCTTGAAAGAGAAGTAGTCATCCGGATTACGTGTGCATCTAAAATCCCTCCTTACAGCCTCTCTTCTCATTAATTCTCTTATTTTTGGATTTACCCAAGAAGCAGTAGGTCGTTTGAAAGTTGTGGTTTTTAAGGGTGCATGTTAATTGAGGAATAGAATAAGATTAGAGGAAAGACACTCCACCATCTCATCAATGGAGGAATAGGAATAGATGGGATTTAAGGATTGGGCTAGTGATTCGAGGAAAGGATTTTAAGTCTGGGAGGAGAACAATAAGTTCTGAAAGGAGTCATTTAAAAAAAGATCAACCCATGTTCTTGAGAACTGAGTATGGTGAGCAGGTTGAAAAGGAATTATATAGGTCAAGAGAATGGATAAGATCCATGAGGTATGATTTGTGTGGAGAGTCAGAAGATAAATTTTTATTAAAGTCGCCTGCTATTATTACATTGCTATGCTGCTGTATTACATACCTATGAAGGAACGTAGGTAAAAAGGGAGGATTCGAAGGAAGAATCAAATTGGACATGGGGAGTGCGATATGTAATGACATAGAGAAGGGAAAAGGAATCTGAGGAGATTTCTACAAATACACTTAGTTTCAAAATGTTAAACATGCCCACTGAAATTAAAAAACTTTTCATGTTTTCTTTATTTTTGGTTAATATTGTTTTTTTAAGCACAGTTTAAAGTATAAATTATGATATTGAAATGGGGACAATTTTCTCAGACCTTGAGGATTATTTAAATCCAATATCATTAAATATTGACATTTTATATGCATCAAAATGATAGACACGCTTGTTGTTTACTATTTTATTAACCCTCTAGAGTTGAAATTGTTAAAATACCATTTCTACTTCAGTGTGTGTTGAATTTTTTTTCAAAATTGACCTAAGAGAAACATGAGTTATGGGGAAAAAAAGTGTTTTTCTGAAGAACAGTGCCTACTGGGAGGTCCCCTGCTTTGTCATTATGAGAGAAACGGAATATTCTTCGTATTGCATCCAACTCTTGTAAAAAACTAGAGCAATCGCTGAGGAAGCTGGAGTTCAAACAAAACTAAGGAATGTCCAAAGATTATTAAAAAACTCAAAAACAATATGATGTCATGGACTGAGGAGTGGAAGAAAGTCATCTGTAGTGATGAAAAAAAAAATTAAATCTGGATGGGCCAGATGGATTTTCGTATTATTTTCATGACTTAAGAAAAGAAAAACAAATTTATGGAGGCATCAAATGGGAGGAGAAAAATTTATGGTTTGGGCATCAATTGGTTACAAAAGGAATGGAAATTTAGTATTTGTTTCATCAAGAGTAAACTCAACTGAATATAAAAATTCCTTAAAAATAAAATTTGAGGAACAAAAGTTGACTTTTAATGACATGTCTGAAGGCACACCAGTTATCTAGCAATATGACGCCCCAATACATTCAGCAAAAATGATTAAAGACTGGTTTACTCGCAACAAAATTGCCAAATTAGACTGGCCTAATGTCTCCCCAGACCTGAAAATTATCGAAAATGTTTGGGAAACTCTTTCAAGAAGGGTGTACTCTGAGTTAAGACAGTTCGGAACAATCGAGGATTGGAAATCTGCAATTCTGGCTTCATGGGAACAATTACCTCAAGAAACAATCAAACAATTGTACGATTCATTACCAAACAGAATTTTTGAATTAATAAGTGGTGGTGGAAAGGCCACGAAGTATTAAAATGAGCTTTATTTATTTTTACCAGGGAGCGTGTCTAACATTTTGACAGGCCACAGGCCTTAACATTAATTTGAAAAATAAAAAAAAATTATGTATTTTTGGCTTGAGAACCAAAATACAAGCAGGCTGCTGATTAACTTCAGGTGAGTGATAGATTATTTTAATACTGTTTTACTTGTAATTTGAAAAGAGGGGAGGGTAGGAATAATAATTTTTGAAGTATATCTAACATTTTGTCACTTAGTTTAAGTACTTTAAATGGGGACTGTCGGAAGAGAGAGGATTTTTGGAGGAGACTTATGGAGGATTTTTGCCCTCAGACTGCCAACCCCATGACCGATGAGGGTGTAGTTGTTAGGGATGGATATAGAAGAAAAGGAAATATTTGGTTTGAACCAGGTTTCCGAAAACGGCAATAATATAGTAAAAATTATGGAGGAAATAATCTTAGAATTCATACAATAATATTAGAATAGGGCCGGAAGGAATTGGGCACATTAATAGGATATTAGTCATGTAGGATAAGGAAGGATACATCATTAAAAATTTGGAAAGGAAAGGGACAATCATAAATGAGTGAATTTGAGTTTCTAAGACCCAGAAAAAAACAGTAAAGCACAATTTGTAGTCAGATTTGACAAAATATAAAACATTTGCAACTAATAATAATGAAAGACTGCTAACTCTAGAAAAAAATGGAAATAATAAAATAAAAAGAAAGACTAAGTGCAGATATGTACAACAATAAGTTACAAAATAATCTAAACGAACAAAGGTCCAAATATTCTGGTTAATAAAGAATATAAAATAATATTTCTTGTAGGGAAAATTAGATATTAGGAAGATGTGAAAAATAAATACATAAAAAAATCCTGGAAACTGAAAAAATCATGCGGCAGAGAGGTGACTATGAGGTTTCCATCATTGAAATACATCTAAATCTTCGCCCTTGATTTTCATGACCTGCGTTGCGCTTTGATGATCATGACCTGCAATCCGTCGTCTTTTCAGCATCTGACACACCCTCTGCAAAACCAAACTTATTTGATTTTTCCGGCGGCTTTTTTTCAGTCTAGCCAGCCAGTAAAGATGGCGATTGCTTATGTGTTCATTTCTTCTCCGATGTTGATCCTTTCTTCCCTCTCCCAGCCGAGGTGCCTGGTGGTGAAATCCCTTTTTATCCTTCAAAGTCGTAACACCTTGTCCCGGATCGTCTAGGGAACAAAACACATGATGATCACGGTGGCTGTATGTCCTCTCCTCTAGGACACTTTCTCTCCACCAAGTCCAGGTCTTTGGAATTAAGCTTGATACCCAGGGCTGCCCCAACGTACAAAACTATCCCCTCGGGTGTTTCCCCGGTCTTCGTGGGCATTCCTCGTAGCTCAATCAAATGAGAGAGCTGTGCTTGTTCTACTCAGTTTAGTCTAATTTCTAAATTTTTTTATTTCTCTTTTGAAGCTGCTATTTTCGTCAAATAATTTTTCAATCAACTTTTCCTTCCACTTGGAAGGTTCTTCCATTGTCTTGAGGCTTTCTAAGTTTTCAAAAGAAAACTTGTTTGTTTGTCAACGGTGCTCTTGAGATCTTCTATATCTTCTGTATTTTTGCCTAGCTCGGTAAGAATTAATGCAAAGTTTTCTTCCGTGCTGGCACTAGGCACTGGCACTATTACACTTATACTGCTTTGTTGTTTTCACTAGTGGGTCACAAGTGCGACAGCACCATTATTTTTTTTTAACGTCTCAACTGATGCAGTATTATCCACATATACTGTAAACATGCCATGAAGTATTTATAATAATGTGATAAATATATTACTCACAAAATGTAATTCCTTAGTATACTATAGATTAAGATATCAAATAGACCAGAGGAGATGCTCACTGATTGACGGCAGAAGCCAGACTGATGAGCATATAATATGCTGTTTCGTCCTCACAATGACAGAAACTACAAAAAGGTGATTCTGTTAATCTGAGAGTGAACATATAATAATTCAGTTTGTTGTGACCTATATATATTGCTGTAATTGTGCTTAAAGAAGCGCTATTCATATTAAGTTCAGAATATAAAATATTTAGAGGCTTTAACAACATTTAAATTATATTGGGTAGTCCACTATTAACGTTATAAATAAATTGAAATTAAATTATTACTTTATTTTATCAAAACTGCATATTTTCTTCAGTAGCTTTTTAAAACTTGAATAATTGCATAAGATATATGGTATGAGAATTTAGTGATCCTTCTTAATAAAAAGCATGTTAATTTCTGATTTAGATTTTTCAGCTTTCCTTTTTTATTTTAAATAATTGTTTGGACAAGGCAACTATTTACAGTTAATAGGGAAGGGGTTAGAAAGAAATTTGCTATTAAATTAGATGAATATTGAATATTTGTAGAATATAAATATGTTATTAACAGGCTAAATAGATGTAGCCAATAACATTTCTTACTTTTACAAAGACGGCCAATTTCCTGTCCAGGTTAATACAATTTAATAACATAAATATGTACATTTTATTATTATTATTGAAGAAAAGTTGATTTGGGTTTTCAGTCAATCATTGACATCGACTGGAAACCCCACCAACCTAATTCTCTTCAATATATCTTCTAAAGTCAATAATTATCCACTATTATTATTATTTTTTTTAGGATATGTTGGAAACCAGCTTTCTTAGTCATCACCAGAGTCTAGCTAATCTTATTTCTTTTATCTCTGAAAGGATAGCGGATGTTTGTCAAAGTGATATAGCTATGATAGTATCATCTAATAAACCAACCATACATTGTCCTGTAGAAATAGTTGTGAGTATTATATTGTTAGTGAGCAACATATTGATTTATGTATTTGACTCATTGTCAGCTTTCGTAAATGAGTTAAGAAGAACAAAGTTGTCTTACATTATCCTATTAGTTGTGTTTAATAATATATATATTGCTACACCCTACCCCATCTGCCTTATTTACTTTTATATATTAATTAAAAAATTATGTATCACTAACTGGCTTGTCTAGTGGGTATAATATTCTCTGAAGAGCAGAGCTAATATTCAAAGTAAGTTGTACTAATTACGCAGAAAAAGAAGCTGCAACAAAATATTTTGTATTGAATAATTACCAACTAAATATTAATCAGGATGGGTTGCTGTAGGAGATATTCAAGAAGATAAAACCCTATAAACTATACTACTATATATGAATAACCTGAACTAAACACTTTATAAATCATACCAATTAATTAACAAATTTTCTTTACAATAATCTCCAATAACTTCAATAATTATTAATTTTACATTTAATTATAAAACTGGCTATTAATTATTTAATTGTTAATCATTATTTAAATAGACAAACACAAAACGGTTCTGTCCCTTTTTTTAAACAACCATAATTGAAATTTGTGTAAAAAACACTGATGAACTATCATTGTGTTGATTTTTTGTTGAAAAAGCAGCATCTTTTGTAAATAAAAAGTGTATTCTAGTAATAAGGCGCAATAAGTTAGTGAGTAAGGAAAGATGCTCAATGTTCATTCTGGGTTCGATTATGGCTGTGGCAGCTAATTGTTTATTTATTCTATCACATTAGCCATGAATCAATCCTAAGGTCGGGAGACCCTCCTGGGGCGTAAATCCCAGCTATGTAAATATGAAACTGGAATTTGTCCATAGATGGGTCTAGTTGGTGATATAGTTACTGTAAACCACCTTATTGACACTATTTTGTTTCTTCAACAGCTGGCAAAGATTTTCAACACACAACAATACAAGTTTCATATAACAGAATTGTTTTAATAGTGTTGAAAACATCACGTTTTGTTTCTACATAATACAATTTGCAAACCACAATTCTTTTAAGAACATTTCAGTGTGTAAGATTCCAACCCAGATATTTTCAGTATTGTGCGTGGTTGCTACCTCATAATTTTTGTAACATATCTCAAAAGCTAACACCAGATCCACCATTTCACTCAGAGTAAACATGATAAAAATCTCTTAAAGAGCTGCTGGCATTCAACTACTGAAGATACACCCCCTTTCTTATCACATACTTACTTTGCATGTTCAGGTTCTACAACACGTTACCACGTCTGTGCTTCCTCATTAAGCTCAACCGCCAGGAGTCTCTGTATAATGCCACTGCCATCCAGTTGCAGGCTCCAAGGCTCTTTGCTTCTGCTGTCTCACTGTCAATCCAGTGAAGCCTTGGCCTGCCAACCCTTCTTTGCTCATGAATGACCTGCAAAAGCATTTTTCTTGGTGTCTGCTCGTTGCTTATCGTCTCCACATAATCCACTCTCCTTAATTTGGCTCGTTTCATAGATATGATATTTGGCTCACCATAGAGATCATAGATCTCCTGGTTGATCCTTCTGTTAATATTGACAGGTCGAAATATTCGTTGAAGAATCATTCTTTCAAACAGCAAGATTCTTTGACACATAGTCTTGGTTGTTGTCCAGGTCTATGCACCATATGTGATGTTTGGGTGAATTTATGAATGTGAATGTATTTGTATGCATGTTATGAATTAGGTTAGGAAAAGAGAGGAGAAAATCTAGGGAACGAGAAAAATGTATAGAGTGAGAGAAGGAACAGAAAGGGATGTATAGTGCTAATAAATGAATTAAAGAAATGGTAAAAATAAAATAAATAAATAAATAAAAATATAGGAAAAAATTATGATAAAAAAATATATATATAGATAAAAAAAAAAAAAAAAATTGTATATTATGCTCATATATGTTGTTAATACTATATAATTGTATATTAGTTTTTGAAAATTGTCTGTAGCGATTAATAAGTATGCTGTGTTTAAAGCAACCCAATGTAATTGGGCAGCACCCTTTTAAGATAATAAAGTGATTCTCTCTCTTGTTTGAAATAATCGTTATCCTCCTTGAAATGAACCTATTTGCCAAGAGCTGTCTCAACCAGAGCTGTCCAAGCTGCAGATATTCTTCTTCTGATCTCGATCTCCATTTCATGATCACATATATTTTGATTCCAGATATGCAAATTCAGTGACTTGTTCGAAGAAGTAGTTTTCAAACAGCACTTTCTCCCTGTCTGCTTGATGACGATGTACTTGGTTTTTTCTTGATTAATCTTCAGACCAAATCTTCTAGCTTTTTCTTTGTGAAAAGAGAATGCTTCTCTTACTGCTTTTAGTGATCTTCCCATGTGTCTACATCATCTGGAATTGTTAAAGGCTATACCAAAAATTGTTCCTGAGGCATGGATATCTGAATCCCTAACTGTTTTTATGATTGATAGGTTGAATAGTAGACATGCCAGGGCATCCATTTGGCAGACACCTCTCATTTACTGGAAGCTTTCTGAGCTGAAAGCTCTCTGTATTTGTATAACACATTACAGGTCTGTTATGATTAGTTTTATCGGTCTTACCAGCTTCTGAGGAATCCAGAATTTTCTGAGTGCTCTATAGAGAATTTCGTAATTGATGTTGCCATTTGCTGCTTTAAACTCTGTTTTTTCTGATTTTTACAGTACATGTGTATCCTTGACTAACCAAAATTAAAGTCCTCAACACGTATTGTTTTTAAAATATTTATATAATTATTGTATGTGTGACAATTTGCTTTGAATGGAAATATTTTTCTTGCTAAAACAGGTATATTCATTATATTTTTTATGTTTTAGGATATGGAGAAGGGGGAAGGATCTCTTGATGACTACCATTTAAAATCAGAAAACAACACATCTTGTGATTCCTTAGATCCCATGAAACCTAAAATAATGGAAATCATAAATAATTGTGAAATTAAAATCAAGAATAGTTTCAGTCTTCTTGCCCCACCAGGCTTATCATCAGCTGTAATTGAAGCTTGTATAGCAATTGCTTCTAAACAGTTAAAAAGAAATGTTATTAATTGGCTAGTCAATGAAGGATTTAGCTTAGGTAATTATGGTTGATTTGTGATAATGTTTGCACTGTTTTGGATAAAAATCTTAATTAGTTCATAGTAATAAATTAATTAACTTATAGCATCTGTAAACTTACATCATGCTTAACCTTTCATTCTATTAAATTTCTCCTCCATCTTTGGCCACAAGTTACCATTAAAATAAGTAGTGTTTTAATTATTAATTTTTTAATGTTTCAGAGATGTTATGTCCCCACTCTTCAGCATCTAAGATGTAACAAAAACTATGAAATTAAACAGCAAAAAAGGCTCCCCATTTGCTTAAAATTTTTAATAGTTTACAACGCTTTACTTTTAAATTTCTGTTTTGAACTAGTCACTTGATAAAATTTATCAAAATTGCATACATATCTATGTCCCAGTATTGTTGCATGAGTTCAATTTGTAATATTAGGGTAATGCCTTCAGTTTTCTGTACCTTTAAGGAAACTTTATGGTTTTTGTCTCATTTTAAATCATGTGAGTATTCGATTCAACAATTCCTACAAAATGTATGTGTGAAACATGTTCTTTGATTTGACTTTCTTATATTAAATTGTTAAATTATCTGATTTTATTATCAAAAAGTAATGAAACCCATCCTTATAATTAATTCATTTAATCAAAATCCATTTGATTTATCTTACTTACTTACTTTAATTTTATTATCAAAAAGTAATGAAATCCATCCTTGTAATTAACTCATTTAATCAAAATCCATGTGATTTATCTTACTTACTTAAATAATGTTATTTATTTATTCAAGTCTTCTATCCTGTTTAAGTGAATGGTGGGTTTGCATGAAATCAGCAGGTCTGTATACTGTATCACCATAGATTTGGAGCACACTGTAACTTTATTTAGAAACCTTATTAATTTAATTTTGATTCAATATTTTAATATAGCAGTACTTGAAAGCCTTCAGGGCTTGAACCATGCCCTGAAGATGACCCACATGTTTGAGTTGAAACGTTGGCACAAATAAACAAATTTGTATAATGACTGCGTCCCGACTGTTTATCAACCATGATATGTAGAACAATAGACTAGCTTCCTTCAAGTTTTTACATCTATATATTTTTACAAGTGTTCTTCTATCTGCCTGGTTATTGGGTTGAGGAAAATATAATTTCGTTTTATCCCAATAGATAACTTTAAAGTCTCTTATCTCTTGTAATCCCTATTCAATGAAGCCATTCTCTATTTGCTTTGATAGCTCTCAGTCCATAGAACATTCTATATACAAAAATAGCATCATTTATTTACTCAAGTCAACAGTTACTGCACTTTAAAAATGGACGTTCTGAAAGGTCATTTTTTGAAGGCCAGTAATTTGAAGATCGAAACGGGAAATTCATTGCGAAAAATGTGGAAAAAGTTTCTATTTTTTTAACTTGTATATATGGATTTAGACTTGTAAAAAACATAATTGCTAATGCAGACCATTAAGTAAAAACTTTTTACAGCCAAAAGAGTCAGATTTTTTGACATTTTGTATGTTTTTTCGCCTATAACTCCAAAAAATGCAACAAAGCGAAAAATCTATTCTTTAATAAATTAAAAATAGTTCTGCGCATGCGCTAGATTATAATATACCACAGTTATCTCGTCTCGTAGATATATTTACTTTTTCTTGGGAAATTAGTGTTATTTCTTAATTAAATTGTGACTATATGTGAGCTAAACACCTGGACTGTAATATGCACTAATGCCACAGTGAGTTCAGTTGTTATTTATTGTGTTCAGTCGTGTGAAGTGAAACCGGTGTGTAGAGGCCAGTTCTGTTACCTCACGGCCATAAGTACCTAGCCCACTCAAGTCAGTTGGGCTTGGAGCCTTAACAAGAGAAGTCCTTTTGCGATGCTGAGACAAAATCATGGTCACGCAGCGTGTTTTAAATTTTTTTTTATTTCCTTTCTCTTCTTTCTTTATTTACTTTCTCTCGATGTATTATGTGATTCTACCACCAACTCATGTCTTCTAAGGGTGCAATAACGAGGTCTCGCTCTGCCGGATCAACACCACGTTCGTCACCTGCAGAAAAAAAAGTCACCAATCGAAAAGAACGACAACACCCGTGACTCCGTCTTAAGTAGCAGAAGACACTCAATCTCAGCCCGAATCATCTCAGGGCACAATAGATGAGTCTCCCTTTTTCACCCTGAATCCTTATGAAGTACTGCAAAATGAAAAAGAGGCAATGGAATCTGCACCCATTCCCAGAGACCCTCGACCCCCTCCAATTTTCACTAAAAATTTAAAAAATTTCCCGTTACTACATTACACATTTAAATAAAATTACAACTCCTGGTAGCTACTCCTGTTTAAGCCGGACTAATGATATTAAAATATCTCCAGCCACAGCTGATGCATACCACCAAATTATTAAATATATATCCGACACAAAGGCAGATTTTCAATCCAATTGAGGCAAGAGCGTTCCCTGAGGGTAGTAATCCGGAATTTACACTCCTCTACTCCAGCCGAGGCGATCCAAGACTGACGGCCATAGGTTTCAAAGTCCGACAGGTCACCAATGTAATGAAGGACGACAGAGATGTATCCAGTGCTAATAGAAAAATACCATTACCCATATTTTTCATAGATTTAGATCCCTCAGCAGGAGTTGATAAAATATATCAAATTAGAATATCATATTATACTAGTGGTAAGGTTGAAAAACCATACACTAAAAGAGAAATCATCCAGTGTCATAATTGCCAGGCATATGGCCACAACAAAACTTACTGCCACCACATTCCAAGATGTGTGAAATGCGGAGAGTCACACAAGACTAGTGAATGTAATGAACTGAAAACTACTCTAGCTGTATGTGCTTTATGCCTGGAAGGACATCCTGCCAACTACAAGGGCTGCCAAGTCTACAAAAACATCAAAAATAAATTTCGCAAACCCAGGAACCAAGAAGAAATCTTTAAGTCCAGAAGAGGACCTGCTAAAATAGGAGACTCTAAAGTTTCTTTTTCGCAGTTACTAGGAGGCAGAGCCCTGACTGACAAATGTGAGGCTCTGCTGCGACAGGAACCCCAATCCCAACTTCAACATCCTATCCCTCCTAAAGTACAAAACCCGCAACAATCTCATCAACATCACATTCCTCATATTCCTCCTCCATCACAAGCCACAGACCTTACCAGTTTGTTGGCATCTTTCCTCACTGAATTCAAATCCCTTGTTACCCCACTGATATCTCTCCTTATGAATCTAGTATCCCACCTCATCCCTCCTTTAAAAAATCCTTAAATTATTTCCTCCAAACCCTTATCCATTCTCCTTTGGAATGCGAATGGTGTTAGAAATCACACTGACGAACTGACAGCTCTACTACTAGACAAGAACGTTGATATAGCCCTTATTACGGAAATTCGACTGACCAAAAAACAAACTTTAAAAAAACCACAGTACTCCACATACCGTACTGACCATGCTGACGGTATAGCACAGGCCGGCACTGTAGTCATTGTACACCAATCCCTCTCTCATCACCTACCCCCATTACCTACCCATGATTTCCTGCAATCCACAGCTATCATAATCAAAACCTTCTCCTTTCCTATTACCCTTGCATCAGCGTATTGCCCTCCAAACCAATCCATTTCTAATAACCAATTCAGTTCCCTCCTCAATTCCTTAGGACACCATTTCATCCTGGGTGCAGACTTAAACGCCAAGCATCATCTATGGGGCTCAAGAACCACAAATTCTTGTGGCCGAACACTGCTGTCTGCAATCAATTCCCAACGTTTTAACCTCGTTCCCCCGACCTCACCAACCTACTGGCCCACTGATCCTAACCGCAATCCCGATATCCTTGATTTCTTCATCCACAGTGGTTTAGGTTCCTTCAACTATTCCATTGCACGCCTCGATGAACTTTCCTCAGACCAGAGTCCATTAATATTCCAAGTATCACTAGCTCCTATTCCTAAACTCTCTCCACCGTCCTTTATCAGAGGTCCAGTCAACTGGAAACTCTTCCATCAAATCCGTTTCAAACAAATTGACCTCTGAATAACCTTGAAAACTCCAGAAGACCTTGATAATGCCGTACACTCCTTTACCACCACCATTCAACAAGCAGTCTGGACTGCTTCCTCTCCTAATCATTCCCCAATAATCTCTGAGAAAAATAAGTTACCTCAACATATCCTCGAGTTAATTCAAACCAAACGCCATACCAGAGTGTTATGGCAATACACCAGACATCCCACAGATCGCCGTTCCTACAATTATTACTCTAAAAAAGTGAAGCAAGAATTATCCAACTTCAAATCCCAATCCTTTAACTCTTACTTTATCTCCCTCTCCACTCACGACAATTTCCTCTGGATATCACCAAAAAAATTCTAAAATCCCAAAATATTTCCCATCCCCTCCGTCGAAGCGATGGCTCCTGGGCGGCGTCTGATGAAGACAGAGCTGAGGAATTCGCCAAACACCTCTCCTGTACATTTACTCCTCTTCCTGAATCCCATTCCCTCCATACTGCAAAAGTAGAAAAATTCCTCACCTCATCAATTTCACTTTCCCTACCGCTAAAAGCAGTTCATCCTTCTGAGGTCAAATACCATTTACCAAAATTATCTTCCCGCAAATCTCCTGGATACGACCTTCTAACCCCACAGATCCTTCATCAACTACCACCCAAAGCGATCATGTTGCTCTCTTATTAAAACATTCCACCATCGTCCTTTTCCTGAAACCAGCCAAGCCTTCCAATAACACATCATTGACCTATAGACCAATCAGCCTACTCCCAATCCTATCAAAAATATTTGAAAAAATCTTATTAAAAAAAATCCTACTCATAATAGAATCACAAAACCTTCCTACCCATCAATTCGGATTTCGTTTCCATCATTCCACTGTTCAACAAGGACTCCGAATTGTTGACCACATATCTTCAGCCTTAGAAAGCAAAGAGTATTGCTCGGGAGCATTCCTTGACATCGAGCAAGCTTTCGACTGTGTATGG